TATGTATGCCCAAATCCTTTTTGCCCTCTACAAAATAGTTAAAGGAGTATTACTATTAACTCTATTGTGAAAGTCTGGTAGAGTTATTTGCTAAAACTGTCTGACCCTGTTTTTGTTGTTGTTATTGCTTTTGTTGTTGTTGTTGTTTTGGTTGGGAGACTGTTTTGGATTTATTTCCTTGGGGATTAAGCTATATATCTGATCTTGATTTAACTTTGGTAAGTGATATCTATTGAGAAAATTATTCATTTCTTTTAGATTTTCTGATTCTGTAGGGTGCAGCATTTTAAAATATGACCAGATAAATCTTTGGATTTCCTGTGTCTGTTGTTATGTCCACCCTTTCATATGTGGTTTTTATTAGTTTGGACCTTCTTTCTCATCTTTTAATTAGTTTGGATAAGTGTGTATATATATATCATTGATATTCTCAAAGACAAACTTTGTTTCATTGATTCTTTATATTGTTATCTTTGTTTTTATATTATTGATTTCTGCTCTCCTTTTGATTATTTACTGCAATCTAGTCCTCTTGAGCATGTTTGCTTCTTTTTGTAATAGAGCTTTCAGGTGTGCTGTTAATTTGCTAGCATGAGATCTCCACAATTTCTTTATGTAGGCAGTTAATACTAAGAACTTTCCTCTTAGCACCACTTTCATTGTATTACATAAGTTTAGGTATGTTGTGAATTCATTTTCATTGATTTCTTTCATCATTTTTGTCTTGACCCAATAGAGAGTTATTTCATTTCCATAAGTTTGTAGGCTTTCTTTTGTTGTTGTTGTTGTTGTTTTTGTTGTTGTTGCTGAAATATAGCTCCAATCCATGATGTTCTGATAGGATGCAGGGGGTTATTTAAATTTTCTTGTATCTCTTAAGACTTGCTTTGTGACTGATTATTTGGTCAGCATGGGAGAAAGTTCCATGAAAATAAGGTATATTATTTTGTGTTTGGATGACATCTTCTGTAAATAACTGTTAGATTCATAACATTTATAATGCTGTTTGTCTCCATTATTTCATTACTAGTTTTTATCTGGATAACATGATATTTGGTGAAGGAAGGGTGATTTTTTTTATATGATCAATGTTCCCATGGTCTATGCATGATTAGTAACACTTCTTTTACAAAAGTGAGTGCCATTGCATTTAAAAATAAAATATTATTGTAGTTGAGTTTTCCTTTGATGAGTATAAATTGTCCTTCCCCATATCTTTTTGTTTGTTTCATTTTTGTTTTGATTGATACAAAAGTATACTTTACTGAGGTCCATAGTAATGGTTTAAAACAGTAAACAGTAACATTTATTTAAAAAGTGTATGTTCCTCATTAATTGTCCACCAAACAAATGCACTTTGTGATATGAACACGGCACTCAGAAATGTCTCTTCATATGTTGCCCTTTTTGGTGGCTTTCTTTCTTTCTTTCTTTCTTTCTTTCTTTCTTTCTTTCTTTCTTTCTTTCTTTCTTTCTACTTTTTATTGTTTCCTTGTGAGTTTCACATCTTGTACCCTAGTATCATTCACCTCCCTGTCCCCTCATATCCATTCCTAACTCTTGTAACTTCCCCATTAAAATGAAAAATATTTCATAAAAAAGCAAAGCAAATTTGAATGAACAATGAAGTCATTGTTTTTAACAGCTGAGTAGTACAGTATTGTGTAAATGTACCATATTTTCTGTATTCATTATTCTCTTGAGGGACATCTGGGTTGTTTCCAGCCAGCTTCTGCACAATATAAATAAGGCTGCTATAAATGTAGTGGAGCATGTGTCCTTGTTATATGTTGGAACATCTTTTGAGTATATACCCAGTAGTGGTATATCTGGGTCTTCAGGTAGAACTATTTCCCATTTTATGAGGAATAACTAGCAATGTAGGAGTTTCCTTTTTTCTCCACATCCTCACTAGCATCTGCTGTCATCTGCAGTTTTGATCTTAACCATTCTGATTGGTGTGAGGTAGAATATCAGGGATGTTTTGATTTGCATTTCCCTGATGACTAAGGATGTTGAACATTTCTTTAAGTGCTTTTCAGTCATTTGCAATTCCTAAGTTGATAATTCTTTATTTAGCTCTGTATCCCATTTTTAATAGGGTTATTTGGTTATTTGAATTGTAACTTCTTGAGTTCTTTGTATACAATGACTTCATGAAATTTAAAGGCAAATGGATGGAACTAGAAACTATCACCCTGAGTCAGGTAATCAATATACAAAAGAACACACATGGTATGTGTTAACTGATAAGTGATATTAGGCCCAAACCTCAGAATACCCATTATATAACCTACAAACCATATAGAGCTTAAGAAGAAGGAAGACCAAAGTGTAGATGCTTCAATCCTACATAGAAAATGGAACAAAATAAATCACAAGAGGTAGAAGGAGGGAGGTACCAGGCAGGGAAAGAGAGAGGAGGAGGAGAGAAAAAAGGGGGCAGGATCAAGTATCAGAAGGGAGAGGAGAGGGTTAGGAAATTGAATAAAAATATGTGGCAGTTGAAGATGAGGAACTGGGTGTATCCACTAGAAAGTCTCAGACACCAGAGAAGCAAGAGGTTCCCAAGACCCAATAAGGATGGCTTCAGTCAAAATACACAACAAGGAGGTATAGAATTTGTAGAGATCACCTCTAGCAGATAGGTATAGCCCCCAGTTCAGGGGTGGGGCCACCCTCCTGTCTCAAAAATTTTAACCCAGAAATGTTCCTGTCCAAAGGAAAGACAGGAACAAAAAATGCAACAGAGACTAAATGAAAGTCCACCCTGAGACCTCCCCACCTAGGGACCTGTCTCATCTGCAAACACCAAACCCTGACATTATTGCCAATGCCAAGAAGTGCTTGCTGATAGGAATCTGGTATGGCTGTTCCCTGAGAGGTTCTATCAGCACCTGTCCAACACAGATGCAGATACTCAGAGCCAACCATCTGACTGAGCTCATGGATCCCAATGGAAGAGCTAGGGAAAGGGATAAAGGAGCTGAATGGGGTTGCAACCCCAAAAGAAGAACAGCATCAACAAACAGACCACCCAGACCTCCCAGAATCTGAACCACCAACAAAAGAGTATACATGGAGGTTATCCATGGCTTTAGCTACATATGTAGCATATGATGGCCTTATCTGACATCAGTTGGGAGGGGAGGCCCTTGGTCCTGTAGAGGTTTGATGTTTCAACATGGGGGATGCTAAAGAGGTGAGGTGGGAGTGGGTGAGTAGGTGGACAAGCACCCTCATTGAAGTAAAAGGGCAAGGGGAGAGCTGGAGATTGGATAAGGGGATTATGGAGGGGTAACCAGGAAGGGGATATCATGTGAAAGGTAAATGAATAAAAAACAAATCATAGAAAACCCCCAGTATATCACTCTGTCCATACATCTTCTCTTGTGAATATTCATTGCAATGAGTTACTAGTCTTTGATACCATCAATATTGGATTCCCTCTGGATTTCCTCCCAGTCATACAGTTGCTGCCCTGAGTCATGGAAATCCTACAGCTGTTTGAAGATTATGTAGATTTTGGGGTGGGCCAACTGAGAGCCCTGAATCTTGTCCTGGGTGTCAGGCTTCAGTGCACTGGATCTCCCTTGTCCAAACCACCCAGTGAACTTTTCAGTACTGCTTCAGCTAGGCTACCCTATTCCACCATTGGTGAGAGGCAGGGTCAATTCTCTAGCTCCCATGCCCCAGGCCAGCTTACCCTTACTTTCACCATCAGGGATAGCTCCACTATGCTGCTCAGGTGAGGTGCAAAGCCTGCTCTCCCCTGAGTGCTACAGCCAGTGAGGTGGCATGGCCAGTTCTCTTGCTCTCGTACCCTCAGGGCCAGCTCCTTGACTACTAGAGGTAGCAAGAAATGAGGGGGGGAAAGGGTATCATCCCTGTACCCATGACAAATCATGTCAGATGAGTGGCAGGGCCAGCTGTCCGATTGTCTTTCCTTTGAGATTGGCTCACCCCTGTCCCCTTGACCAGGACCAGCCCTACTGTGCTACCCAGGCAAGGTACAGGACCTGCTTTTCCAAGTTCTGTAGCTGGTGAGGGACAGGACTACCTCTCCCACACTCATGGCCCAGTGTGCAGCTTTCCCAATTGCCAGAGGTGGGAAGGGATGGGGATAGGGTTGCATCATTTATGTACCCATATCACCCCACAGCAGATGAGTGGCAGAGTCAACTTTTCCACACTTTTGCTCTTTGACCCAGCTCACCCACTGCCATCACTGCCATCAGGGCTAGCTCTACTGTGCTGCCCAGGCAATGTGTAGGGACTGTTCTCTGGAGTGCTACCATAGATGAAAAATGAAACTAGCTCTCCAGAGTGTGGCAGCTAGTGAGGGGTGGAGCCAGATCTTCACTGACTCTCAAAATCCACTGGGTTACTGGAGGCTGCCCTGACCAGGAACATCCCATGTTCTCTAGTGGTAATATGAAGCACAGACAACTATACCGACCCCTGCTTCTTCATAGCCACAGACCCAGACATGACTCTCAGCCTCAGCTGAGATTGAGACCTCACCATCGCCTTAGGTCACTTAAAAGAGGATACTCCTCTCTACTCTCAAGTCTCCAATTTCATCTCTCTTCATAATGCTCAAACTGCTTTGCTTTTTTTTTTCTCCATCTGACCACCACATTCTTGCACATTATTGGGGATCCCACTGCAGGCTGGCCATGTGAATGGCAGGCTCCTTGGTGACATTCTCCATCTTTATTATGTGGCATGGCATCAAGTGGGTGTGTATGGCCTTCCTGTGCCATGTGCTGAAAGGGAGACATGTAGGTAGCATGGAGGTATACATGTTTCTCTGTCTTCATCCTCTAATACTGCAGGTAAGCAGGACTCTATGTATCTACAGTCTACCCTTGGCATGTATCAGGGAGGAAGTCTACGGGGTTTCTTTCTCTGCAATCACTATGGCGGGAGTAGTATGGCTGAACACAGATCTCTGACTTCCTCTATCTGTTCTAAGCTGCCTGGATTTGATTTGATTTTTGTGTATTCTAAGCATAAAACAGCTTTGGTCACCAAGCCAGGTATCAAGCTAAGATGAACAAAGGACTGTAAATTGCTCTGCCTCTGACTATTATGAGAGCACCACCACCAACAAGGTGTCTCTTTTGCCCATTGCCAAGGGGATTTCCCCATCTCTTTTCATTAATTTTAGTTTGAAGTCTATTTCTTATATATTAAAATAGTTACATCAGCTTGCCTTTTAGGTCCATTTGCTCAGAAAATCCTTTCCAAACCTTTATTCTGAGGTAATATCTAACTTTAAGGTGTGTCTTGCATGCAGCAGAAGAATAGATCCTGTTTTTGCATACATTATATTAGCCTATATATTTATTGTGATCATTGAGTCTATTGGAATTGAGAGATTTCAATAACTATTGATTGTTAATTCCTGTTATTTTGTTGTGGTTGTTGTCGTTGTTGTTGTTGGTGGTAGTAGTAGTAGTGTGTGTGTGTGTGTGTGTACGTGTGCATATTCTTCACTTTTATTGGTTTTGCTCATGTGAGATTATTTCCTGTGTTTTCCTGGGTATAATTAATCTGCTTGGGTAGGAGTCTTCTTTCTAATATTTTCTGTAGGGCTGGATTTATAGATAGATATTGTTTAAATTTGACTTCATCATGGAATATCTTGTTTTCTCCATCTATGTTGACTAAAAGTTTCATGAGTATTGTAATGTGGGCTGATTTCTATGGTCTCTTAGAGTCTTCAGGATAAGGTGCCCAGGCCCTTCTGGCTTTTAAAGTTTCTGTTGAGAAGTCAGATGCAACTCTAAAAGGTCTCCATTTATATGTTACTTGGCATTTTTCCATTGAAGCTTTTTATATTCTTTAGTTGTTCAGTATGCTTAGTGTTTTGATTATTATGTGGTTACCAGACTTTCTTTTCTGGTCCATCTATTTGGTGTTCTCTATGGTTCTTGTATCTTTATAGGCATCTTCCTTAGGTTGAGAAAATTTTCTGATTGTGATGAAAATAATTTCTGTGCCTTTGAGCTGGAAATCTTTTTCTTCTTCTATTCATATTATTCTTAGCTTTGGTCTTTTCATAGTGTCCCAGACTTTTCTGGATATTTTGAGTCAGGAACTTTTAAAATTTAACAATGTCTTTGATTGATGTATCTATTTCTTCCATCATATCTTCATCCGAGATTACGTCTTTTATCTCTTCTATTCTGTTGCTGATTCTTGCATCTGTAGTTGCTCTTTGTTTGCATAAATTTTTCTTTTCCAGAATTACCTCACTTTGTGTTTTATATCTTGCTTTTATTTTTATTTTCAGGTCTTTATCAGCTTTTTCCATTTCTTTCAAATATTTGGTTCTTTCCTTCACTTTCTTTAGGGGATTTATTCATATCCTCCAATTTTTCCATTTATCTTTTCCTTTAAGTGCTTTATTTGCTTCTTCTTTAAGTACCTCTAATATCTTTATAAATTTGTGTTTAAGGTCTTTTTATTTATGTCTCAGCACAGTTGAAATATTTTGGACTTACTATAGTAGAATATATGTATTCTGGATTGGACATAATCCCCTGGCTGTGGTTGATTGTGTTCTTATGCTGACATTTCAGCATCTGTGTTTCAGATGATTATAGGTCTAGGTGACAATTTCTGTTTGTCTTTGTTGGATGAGGCTTTTTGCTTCTTCTGGTCTTCTAGTCTGTGAAGTCTGTGGTTGAGTAGGGTGTCTCTACCAGACTTGGGAGCTAGACCTCTGGGGACAGATATGGTTTCTTTTTGAGCAGGTCTTCATCCACATTGTGGGATAGGATCAGGGAACAGGAAGGAGGGGGATTTGTGGATAGTGGGATAGTGTCAAGGAGAGAGTACACTGAGAGAGAGAGAGAGAGAGAGAGAGAGAGAGAGAGAGAGAGAGACAGGGAGATACTTGGGAAGACAGTATACCTGCTATTTTTGCAGGCATGGCATATGTTTGAACAAGGGGTATCTTTCTGAGAGAACAGAAAGAGTGGGAAAGTTCTGCAGGTTCCTGGCCTGCTTTTCATTCTTGCAGATGTGGTACATTGTCCTTAAATGTTTAAAGACTACATTTAAATATTTAGTTTTAAGTGTTAAACCTGAAAGTCAATTGTGAGAGACTGGGCGAAAAATATCTACCTGTAAAAATAGCAGTTTGCATATTTTTCACTAACTCAATGCCTTCTATATTTGTTAGATATAGACATCAGTTGCTGGTGTTACAACAACTCTGAGGCAGTTAAGAGTTACACATCAGGGCTCTGAAAGCATATAGCTTTGGAGAAAGTATTCTAAAAGGCATGTTGGAAGTTCAATGATTTTTAAGCCTCAAATCATAGCTTATGTAAATCTAAGAATCATGCTTTCACTTCCTTTTTTGATGGAATGAGAACATAACTTACAGTTATGATATTTGTAAAGTAAATGTACACTGAAAGGAGTTGAGGATCCTAATTTTGGAGATCTTCCAAAAGTCAGTCAAATTGAGAGCTACATTCAGGCTTACTGTTTTATCTGGATTCCAACTTCCAAATTTTTGTTATTATTATTTATTGTCATTGTTTATCTTGTCTTTATGGCCTTTGTGCCTTTGAAAAGAGCTTCCCCTATAGTAATTATGATTGAGTCAATTGCATGAGCTTAGTATAACATCTTTAATCATAAGCATGAAAATTCTTCAAGAAATGCATGCCCTATTAAAGTGTGTACAGAGGTGGACACTGGTAGGTTTGGTATTGTTTTGGTAAGAGCTTAGGAAGAGGGACATTGTTCCATAGATATAGATTTACTTTCCTACAAAGCACATTTTTACAATAACTGCCTTTATAATTCAATGGAAATAGAAAGATTCTTTAATATTACTACAAAGGAGAAGAAATAGACCCCCACTTTTAGTGACACCAGTGCTATACTAACTTGGTCAGTTACAGAGCACAGGGGAAACATAAGATAATTGAGTGCTTACATGAGCAAGGCTCATGGGAACTCTGTCCCTTGACTCTTTCCTTGTATGTGTAGAAGTCCAATGTGAAGTCTGCTCAGACACTTCCAGGAATTATTTTGATGAACTAACATCTCTCTTTCTCTATAAGTGTATGTTTGAAGCTAAAGATATATATTGCTTTAACATTCCTGAATATCTGTTTCAGATGGGATCTGAGTATCATGTGTCCATGGTCATCTCCAGGGCTTAGCTTGTACCCTCTCTTCTCTTGCTTTCTTACTTCCAGCCAGTGAATGTAGCTGTGAGTGCTTTGAACTTCCATTCAGATGTGACCTTTATTTGTCTTTGTACTCCCTCACTAACCCCTTGACTCTTTATCTGGAACCTTAATATACTTTGCTCCTGCCATATATTATACAAATATAATTAAATTATATTTTAATCTAAGTTTAGCTATGTGATTTCTGGTCACTTGCTTTTTTTTTTTATTAATCATGATTCTGACTCCTAATTCCAATTAATATCTCAAAAAGTTTGTCAGGAAGAATCTGAGCTTTTTCTTTGGCGTTAAGGAAGCATTTGCATTGCTTTCTTTTCATTTACCAGTGTAGAAGTGAGCCAAGGAACTGGAATTAAATAGCTCATGCTAGTGCTTCTCTGTCTATCATCCTTGAGCAAACTCTTATCTAATTTGATTAACACGGTGAAAAAGAAACTGTGGTGGTAAGTAAAATTACTTAACTTTGGATATCAGAGAGTCTTCCCCAATTCTCTGGAAGCATCTCATTGGTGTTTCAAAAATCTATATAGTTTTCTGAGGCCACAAGTAGTAAAATGGCAAGAAACATTTTTGAGAAAGGATAAAGCAAAGGATACTAGTAACAAGTGCTTGAGTAGAATAACAAAAAGAGAAAGTAAAAGTTGGGATTTAGGTATACCTAAGTAATTTGAAGTGTGAGTACTTCCTACACTATTTCATACTGTAGACTAAAATACCTCCATATAACAACAGGCTCATGAATGCATTGCATGCTGGCACAGTTAATATAAGACTCATTATTCATATCTAAAATGACTTATTATTTATTTTAAAAGTCTCAGTGGAGGTTAATGGATCTTCCAGCTAAACAAAAGGTATTTGCTAGCTTACATCTCATCATCTTGATGAGGTTACAAGCCATTGGGTCTTAAGAGAGTCTTTCTCATTTTGGTGCATGATTCTGTGTTAAATACAAGATTTTAGTCTTTATGTGGCATGTTACTCCTCATCATGAGATCTTGTAGGGAAAGAAATAATTTTCAACTCTTTCTGGTCTCTCAAGAAGGTTGTATAGTTCTGCAATGTTACCAAATTCAGTTATTATAAGATCCAGAAGAATAGAAATTGTGTTTTCAGCTATCTCTTTTGCTAATAGAGGAAATATTGGCTTCAAAATGAGTAATACTTAAATATATCTCTGTTGATTTGTAGGTAAATTTTCCTTTTAGGTCTACAGTATTACTAAGGAAAAAATAGAAGCAATTATGACTTAATAGAACACTAATTTGAAAGTACAATACAATACAATACAATACAATACAATACAACATGTACTTAGTCCATATAGTCTTCTAATGCATAATTAAAAAATTTCAATCAATCACTTTATGTTTTAGGCCAAACTTACTTATTCATGACTCAGACACATGTGTTGAACTAAATAAATATAATTTAACACAGTTGAGCATCAGAATACTTGAGGAAGATTTAGTTTTCAAGGACAGTACAGTTTTACAAACTATTTTAGAGAGTATAAATTAATAGTTCTCAAAGGAGGAAAAATTTTATTCTTTTATCAAGCTCTTAATGTGGTTTTTAAAACTAGTCTACTGTCAAAGACTGCAAATCTTTGTGCCAGCTGGTCTTTTAGGTTTTACTCAGTTCTTGAACTTCATCTTTGCTCTACTAAATCAAGGAGACAAAATAGCAAGGACTAGTGGCACATAATTTGTTAAGCTTGAAATCATGGTAGGTTAAACATAACTGTGGTAATAAAGGAGAGAGTTTGTAAAAGTTCTCAGAAGGACACCAACATGAAATAAAGTAATGTCATGTTGGAAGTAAAGAAAGTAAATTTGCATACAGATGTAGGTGTTGATGGCTCAGAATCCAGTGCCTGCATCTTGAGAATCAACTCTTCATTCTGACTATCTTTTCTGACCT